CTGGTGGTCAAAACTGCTCTCCGTCTCACATTCCCTCATTGAAAGGGTGTTCTGTTTGACAGACCAGCCTTCAACAGGGGTACGCCCCAGTCCACCACCACATTTAGCTATGTATGCTGACCAATGTTCCCTCTAAGCTGTGGAGTCTTGTGAGCAAAAATTCTACTTTGTGAGCTACTGGCATTCAAGTTGTGAGCGAGCGATTTGGCTGTTGCATAAATTAGTTTGCTCTGGAGCCATCCTTCCTGAGCTAAAACAAAAATGTGTGAGCCGGAGGCTAAAAAACTGTGAGCTAGCTCACACTAACTCACCTTAGAGGGAACACTAATGCTGACCTAGCCGACCTCTTGATATGACCATCATGGGCACGTTCTGTTGCGTTTCATAACTAAAACTGTTCCATCTTGGGCCCGTTGCAATGAAGAAACTGCCCTCCTCCCTGGAACGTGGGGCAAAAGCACCACATTGGGGGAACAGTGCTCAGAAGAGCTGCTATCACTGAATTGCTGAGGAATAAACTGACAGTCCACAGGCACAGCGAGCATAAGCAGTGCTCACTGACTCGGTCGCTGGCATGGTCACATTCAGGATCGGCCACAAAAATGTATTATGCATGTATCCCGCACAAGCGTCATCATTTTTAAGGTCACAGTCATGACAGGAGGATGCCCCTTCCTTGAATTTCCACCTGCTGCTTCCAAAAGAGTAAAATTTCCTAAGCCTGTGCAGTCTGTAGTCTAAGCTGCTTTATAAGAACTAAACTCACATCCTGACCAATGTTCCCTCTAAGCTATGGAGTCTTGTGAGCAAAAATTCTACTTTGTGAGCTGCTGGCATTAAAGCTGTGAGTGAGCGATTTGGCTACTGCATAGATTAGTTTGCTTTGGAGCCACCCTTCCTGAGCAAAGACAAAAATGTGTGAGCCGGACGCTTAAAAATGGTGAGCTAGCTCACACTAACTCAGCTTAGAGGGAACATTGGCCTGACCTGGATAGCCCAGGCAAGCCCGATCTCATCGGATCTTGAAAGCTAAGCAGGGCTGACCCTGGCAAGTACTTGGACGGGAAACCTCCAAGGAATACCAGGGCCGGGACACAGAGGCAGGCAATAGCAAGCCACCTCTCTGAAATGTCCAAGCCCCACTAGGGGTCGCCAGAAGACAACCATGACTTCCAGGCATAAACACACACGGAATGCACACAGAAAGAAAGAACTAAATTTACCTTTGATAAAGTGAGTTCAAAGCACTGGAGTGACTGACAGGCAGCTGGGTAAATCACTGCTAAAGTACTATAATGCAAACATATTAGACTGTTTTCATTTTAGCTGCTTTTGTTTTGCCCTGACTTAGCCATCGTCGCCACCCTGTGTATGATTTTCTCTCTACTAAAACAAGTTCTGATCATAGGCCAATAATATCCAATAGAATATTGACTGCTTGGGATCAGACCCGCATCACTTAATGTACCAGTGGGATGATTATTCCCTGATCACACCAGGCAGACAAAACACCTGAGTCCGAGAGGGACTTGCTCCACTTCTTGGGACACTGAAAATGAGCCTCAGGGAAGGACCCACCTTAATATGCCTACTGAGCTGCGTGGGGAACTTCTCCTCTTCGACATCCTTCACAGCCGCTTTGCCTCTGAACAAGTCAATCGTCATACCTGGAGGAAGCAGACCCTGGTGCTGCTGCCATTTCAAGGCCTGAAAAATCAGACAGGATTTAAGGTTCTGCTCTACCCTTAAAGGATGTTCATTCCTGAGATCTGTCTCCATAACACGCAAGCAAACTTACACAATGTATTAAAAACCATCCTGACAAAAAGCTCTTATGCAACATGAAGCAGGTTTTACTAAAGCAAAGTCCACATATTGCAATATGTCCATTTCGACAATTTAAGAAAGAGGTACTTTACCTTCAATTCCACACAGTTCAGATCTGGGGGGGGAGATTACCTGTCCTAGCAGCGCCATAAGACGAGACGGAGGCACAACACTGACTTCACCAGCCAACGCCTGAGCAATTGCTGCTCTCCGTTTCTCCTTGCTGCTCCCATCTGGGTACGCCTAGTAGGGAACGACATGAGGAATAACAACTTTCTCACTACAAATACCACCACCTCCACAAGATATCCGCATATACACTGTATATGCTAGGTAAAGGTAAAAGTTTCCCTTGCTCGAAAGCTAGTCAAATCCGACTCTAGGGGGCGGTGCTCATCTCCATTTCCAAGCTGAAGAGCCAGCGCTGTCCGAAGACTTTTTCCGTGGTCATGTGGCTGGCATGACTAGACGCCGAGGCGCACGGAACGCTGTTACCTTCCCACTGAAGCGGTACCTATTTATCTATTTGCAATTTCTTGCTTTCGAACTGCTAGGTCGGCAGGAGCTGGAACCAGAGACGGGAGCTCACTCCATCACGCGGCACTCGGGTCTCAAACTGCCGAACTACAGAACCAATGCCTTCAAAACCATTTATTTATGTGAATTTCAGACTGTAACATTTCAAGAAATGCATATTAAAACAACAATTAAAATATTAAAGGCAAGATATCAGCGTACCTCACGTGGATCAAAGTAGGATCTAGCCAAAAGGTTCTCGAGATGAATATATCGCTCTGGCTGGGTCTGCTTTAACATGATCATGGGGTCAGTCTGTCTCAGGAGTGATCTGGCAGCACCCAGTTCGCGAAGCTCTATCAGTTCCAAAACAACCTGAAACGTAACAGCAAAGGTGGTTACAGGATCATCGTGATACAAATGTCGTTTTTCTGGTAACAGGATGCAGAATTGTATAAACAGGAGATCAGACTGCATAGACAGGTTCTGATCCAGTTTTCAAAGCCAAACAACTTTGGAGTCAGATGTCATCAATACAACAGAATAGGAGCCGAAATATGCTACTGTCCCAGTCCTTAATGCCATAAACAAGTGGCTACAGTGAACAA